TCTGAGGAGAGCAGACCCTGATTTATAGAAGGCTCCCCTCACCCCATGGTGGCATTATTGGAAAAAACACTCACATAAATTTGTCTAACACTGTCACACAACATACCTTAAGTAAATGATTGAGAATGAAGATAATTTCCAATGTTTTGAAGAAAAAAAATACAAACACCTACATTTCAAATGGTAAAAAAACAAAATCTATCTTTAAAAAGCAATTAGGGGCACCTGGGTGGCTCAAGTCAGTGGAACCGCTGACTCTTGATCTCATCTCAGGTCTTGATCTCAGGGTCATCAGTTCAAGCCCCGCATTGGGCTCCACACTGGGCATGGAGCCTACTTTAAAAAAAATTAATGAATAAAAAATAAATTAAAAAGGACTTCAGCTCAAATCCACAATAGTTAGAAACCCCAAAGTGTTACTTGGATGGAGTGGTGTGGGGCGGGGCAAATAGACCACATTCTTTTTTTTTTTTTAAGATTTATTTATTTGAGAGAGGGCAAGCATGAGTAGGTGGGGAGGGGCAGAGGGAGAGGGAGACTCCCAAGCCGACTCCACGTTGCCAGGACCCTGAGATCACGACCTGAGCCGAAACCAAGAGTCGGATGCTTAACCGACTGCACCACACAGCGCCCCAGACCACATTCTTTACACCAGGCGACGTATTTTTCTAAGCAGCACTGTCTCACGTATAGCCGTACCCCACCTCCCCCCATAAACAAGGGTGAGCGACAATAAACCCGTATTCCTTAAGCTTCTATCAGGTGTCTTCAGTCCTGTGTGGTTAAGTGTCCTCTCATTTTAAAGACGATGGAAATGGGATCACACAGTCAGAAAACAGACTAATGGGAACTCGAACCCAGGTCTCTGGGCTCCATGGGGTGGGGGTCAAGCACAGCCAGGAACAACCTGGATCCCAATAATGGACCCCAATGACCCTGGAAATGTCCTGTACAGAGTCAGTTTCCCAATCCCATGCCACCCTGCCTGGAGGTGCGGGGGTCTGCTGTCAGAGGTCAGGGTCAGTGCCACACTCCGGAGCCTTCAGAAGCCCTGCCACGAGGAGGTGGCTGGACAGTTGCCATCGGCCCCCCTGCTGCAGGATGTCAGGCCCCCCAATAAATACCAGAGCAGCCCACGTTCCCGCAGCCCCTGACACTTGGCTCCAAAGCGCTGGGCAGAGGCAGCAGACGAAAGGCAGGCATTCACAGGGTTCCACCCCTCCTGGGCCCCAATCACCTGGAAATAAAATCTAGGGAGGATTGGTGGCAGAGGGATCCCAGCTGGGGATTAACCATTGGACGCCTTTAACTGTGTACCTTTTAAAACAATTTCCGGACCACTGAAAACATTACCCAAGTAACAAATACATTTTTTAAAGCCCAACAGAGACATGAGCCTTGGTAAGCACACGACTCGGCCCATGGGCTCGCTCTCTGGCTTTAAGTGAGGAAGCCCGCTGGCTCTGAACTCACGTTGCCTGGATTCAAGGCACCTGCGTGAACCAGCCCTCCCTCCCCGGGCTGCAACCCCCCGGGCCCCACTGCACGAAATAAGTGAGAAGTCAGGGAAGTGACCCTTCCCTCCCCCTCCCCGCCACCTACCCACACCTTACCCCCTGCCTCCCCCTGCCTTCCACTACTGCATTAATTCCAGCCAGACCCCTCACCACCACCACCACCCCCCCAGGCCATGGCCCCAGGCTCCTTCCAGAAGACCCAGCTCTCCACCCTCTGGCCCAGCCTTATGTAATCATCCCCCATGTGCCCTCCTGTGGGATCTTCTGCCATGGCCTCTAACTGGGGCACACCCCCTCTCCCACACAGAAGCCCCTCAATGCCCTCCAAACCAACGCCCCGTGAACAGCTCACGGGCTCTCTTTAGGTCTGGCCCTGCCGCCCTCTCCAACCTGGCCACTTGCCAACTCCTTCAGGGCCAAGGCCCCAGTGCTTCCAAACCACTCCCAGTCAACAGACCCCCTTGCCCAGCTTCTGGGTCCTTCCCATCTGTGCTCCCTGCCTGCAATGACATTCAAGTCCCTCACTCCCCACCCGCACCTGGCCCAGCGTATCCTGTATCAAGAGGCATCAACCTCCCTACAAGGCCTTCCTCACCCTCTGCCCACCCCCACTTTAGCTGTCCCCTCCTGTGTCCTCTCAGGCCCCCAGCACAGAACAGACAAGCCCCAGAGCGCCCCGGGGCTCGCCCATGAGCTCAGGGACAGTCCCCACGGCAGCCCCCACCCAGATGCCCAGCACCCATCCTCCAGCTCTTGCCATCCTTCCATCTCTTTCTCAGTCTTTCCCTTTCTGCTTGATGCTCTCCACCCAACCTCCTTTCCCGGATGGCTTGCCCGGAAGCAGAGCAAACATGTATACGAGGCACTCCAACATCCCAAACAAGCAACATTCTGGAGAAACCCGGAGCAAAGGCCTGCTGCCGGCCCTGCGCTCTTCTGCAAGCTGGGGAACCTCCTTTCCGTCCTCGCCCGCCTGAGAAACAGCAGCTGCTCCAGAGACGGGCTTTCATCATGTCTGAATTCTCAAGGAATCTGGAAGGAGGACGGCCCATCTCTGCTGGGTAGCTGTACCTCCCACACTTCGGCTTGCTCCTTTGCATTCTAAAATACAACTCCAGCCCCTTCTCCTACAGCCGGTCCTCTCCTTCTCCTCCTGCGCTCTGCAAACACCTGGTGGAAAGCCCCAGGACGTGTGAGGCAGAGGGAAGGATGCAAAACACCACTTCCTGAGGCTGGAGGTGGCAGGACAACAGAATGTGCTGTTCTCACCTGATCTCCTTCCATCAAATTCAGGGCTGCCCTAGCAAGCGGCGGTGGGGTCCAGGGACAGAGAACCTCCCAGGCTTCCCTCTCAAGCCCTCCCCACAGAGCAGGTCAGAGCGGGGAAAACGCTCCCCAGGTGACACCGTCCTGCAGGGCTGATGCGAGCTTCCTGCTCGGCCCTCAGCAGAGCCCAAGGCCACAGATGACCCAAGTGGCCAAGACATGTTTGCTCCCAACAAAGGCCCCCTGGGTGGAGGGACAGTGGTAGCTATACCATGGCTGGCACTTGGTCCTTTCTAGCACCTCTGTGTTGCAGGAGCAGAAGCAGAATGGCCTGGGGAGCAGGCGAAGCCCTGGTCGGGACTGTGGGCTTGAACCTGCCTCTTGGCCTGGCTCTGTCAGGACGAGGCTTATAGCCACCAGCCAGGCTCACCCTGCCTCCTTGGGGAAGCCTTCCTGACTGAACAATCTCTTCCAGACTGCCGACAGCGGAAGGCGCCGGGCTTTGGTCCCTGTGAGTCCCCCACACCTGGGGCCTGGCACTCAGCAGGCCCCCAGGAAAGATCTGCTTGCTGAGTGCTGCTGCAGAGAGAGCCAGGTCTTCCCAACCTGCTGGCCACCAGGGGCCTCCTCAATGGCCAAGCAAGGCCTGAGATGGTGGGTCAGGGGCCTGTGCGCCCAGCATCCTCCCTACAATAACACCAAGGAAGAAACTGAGGCAAAGGGCTACCTGCGACCATCAGTCACCACAGGCAGCCCCTCAGGACGAAGGGGATGGGGGGCACCTTGTCCCACAGCACGCTCCGCTCTCCCCTCGTCTTCCTGCCTGAGCTCCAACATTAAACAGAAGGCACGACTTCCACTCCTCCCGGCCTCCTGGACTCGGGGCTTCCCAGACTACATGAGCAGGGAGAACAGCAGGTTCTCCGTATCAGAGCATCACCTGGCCTCACAGAGCCCGGTTAGGGGAGGCCGGTCGGCCTGCAGACAGGCCCAGCACCTCAGTGGATGCACAGGCCGGGAGTCTGAGTGGCCCAGCCCAGGGGGGGGGCCTTTGGATGGCCTGGGAGCCAGGCCACTGCCCCCTCCAAGACGGTACCTGCTTCAGAGCCCAGTTCTGAGAAGTCAGTGGGGTAATGTTCAAAAGCAGTGGCCTTCACACGAAAGCCCCCAGAATAAATGTTTAAAACTATGTATCTATTTGTACATTTGCAAGCTGACATCTAAAATTTCTCATGGTTAAGTTTAAATACTTGTAGAGGATGTAATTTCCAACATATTATAAATATTAACATTTCAAAATAAAACTGTTACTGTTTCTCTTTTAAATGGATCCAATGGAATCTAAATACCATCACGATTTGAGATCCACCATCATCCATCCTAAAATTACAGAATCCGGTTCTTCCTAAACACTTGGAAATTTAGAAAAGTTCCTTTTGCATCCTCAAATTCCAATTTCCAAACCACATCCCTCAGTGTATTTCATGTGTAAAGGCCTTTTACTGATTAGTATTAACACTACAAGGCAAAAAAAAGTAAGTATATAAATGCTTTAATTTTTTTAATTTCATGTGACCATAAAGCTCTGTCAGAAATTTTCTTCTGGACTGAATTATTATTACAGTTACTATTAGTACATAATTGATCCCTATGACAGAAACATTACAAACTGTACAAGGAATAAACATAAAACATTAAACCTTATTAGAAACACATCTCAGGGGCGCCTCGGTGGCTCAGATGGTTAGGCATCTGCCTTCGGCTCAGGTCATGATCCCAGCGTCCTGGGATCGAGTCCCGCATCGGGCTCCCTGCTCCTTGGGAGCCTGCTTCTCCCTCTGCCTCTCTCTCTGTCTCTCATGAATAAATAAATAAAATCTTTAAAAAAAAGAAAAAAAAGAAAAAAAAAGAAACACATCTCAGTAGACAGACGAACAGGAATTTTTAAGAAGTATTTCATGTATCCACAGATGAAGACAGAGCTTATTGTCAATTGTATTTTTCAATTCTTATAGACCCAAGTGCTGAAACCACTTCCTCAAACAAATAAAAAGATGGAAAAAGATTTACATAGCAAATTCTCTGAGTTCCTTTAAAATGACATGCCAAGAGTTACAGTAATCGTTATCCAAAATCATTTTTAATGTTCTATCAGCTGACAACTGAATCAGGTCCTTTTGCAATGTTGCTGCAAGAAAAGAACTGGAGAAACCTTACCTGCCCCGAGATCACAGTGACCAGCCGCAAGGCCTCGGCAGGTTTGATGCCCCAGGGTCACGTCTGCTGTGAACAATGTAAAGAACAAGCCTCCTGTGTGCCAGGCATGGCGCCAACTGCTTTACCCAAATTAACTCAATTAGGCCTCACGTGATCCCAGGGGACAGGCACAACTATTATCCCCATTTTACAGATGGGGAGACTGAGGCCCCGGGTGGTTAGGCAACTGGCCCGAGGTCACACAGCCAGGAAGGTGAGCCCAGGTGGTCCTGCCCGTCACTGCTCTGTGGAGACGGGAGGAGGACCGCTGTGGAAAGGATGCCAGGAAGGAGGGTTTACAAGCTCCTTCCCGAGCACGTGTGCCGCGGGAACGAGCACGTGAAGGAGTTGCGGAGCTGCAAGATTTGCTTTCTGAAATGTGCTCCCACCCTCCCTTGGAGAGCTTACCCACAGATGCTTCTCGCAAGCACACGGCGTTGGTGCCTGGCACACCACCGTCCCCAGTAGAAGTTAACACTCACGTTATTACGACCACCATTCACTAGCAGCAGCAGAACTAACGCCGCCGACCGCGGTCCCGACGCAAGGACACCGCACGATCTTACCAGCATTTTACCCTCTTGGTTCCTGACCCTGGGCCCCAATATCCTTTTTTTAAATAGTAGCCAGAGCCAAGGGGCGCCTGGTTGAGTGAGTCTTGGCTTAGGCTCAGGTCATGATCTCAGGGTCCTGAGATCGAACCCCGCCCTGGACGCTGTGCTCAGCAGGGGGTCTGCTTGAAGATTCTCTCCCTCTGCCCCTCCCCCCCGCTCACTCTCTCGTGAGCTCTGTCTCTCCGCCTCTCTAAAATAAATAAATAAATCTTAAAAAAAAAAAATATAGTAGCCAAAGCCCAGGTGATAAGAGGCCTGGAAACATTTAGTAAATTGAACACTGAGTAAAACTAACGTGCGAAAGAGCCCCGGTTAGCAGAAAAACCATGGGCTCTGGAGACACACTGACCCACAATCAAACCCCGAGGCTGCCACTTACCAGCCAAGTTCCCCAAGGGCCATCCTGAGCCTCCGTTTCCTCATCTCTAAAACACTACTCCTGTCACCAGCTGGCTGCACAAAAAGGGACAATACCAATGGGGCAATGGACCCAAGAAAACAAGAAAGACCGGCATTGGCTGATGGCACACTCACTCCCCCCTTCCTGCCCCCCGTCGGTCACCGACACCTCGCGTGTGGCAAGCACCCATCCCCGGCATCCAGCGGCCCACAGGGGGCTGGCTGATTCTGAAAAACCAGCCAAGGGTCTCGGCTTCCAAATTTTGCAAAGAGTCCTTCTCTGCATCTTGAAATTCCAAGTTCTCCAAACACTGGGGGGACGCCAGGAGGAGGTGCAGAAAGAGGCGTCGCGGTGGGTTTTATTTTTAGGTACTGGTGTGGAAAGCGTCCAGTTTGGCTTCTCTCTGGTCCCCAGCCACCAGTTCCTCCCCAAAGTCATTACCAAAGTGAACAGCAGACACATCAAGGAAGATTTTGCAACTCTTCTTCTGCCTGGTAAATTCTAGAACAATGGCTCCAAGCCTCCCGTTCCACCCTGGACTAAGTGGATTAAAGGTTTTAGTCTAAATCTTCCCAGGAAGCCATGTAAAGCAAACCCACTGCCCCCCAGGTTGCCCTCACATCCTGAAACTCCAGGGCCCTCTCCCCGCCCCTCCCCTCCCACCTGCGGCAGGGGTAGGAGCATCCCACAGTATGAGTCTGGGGTCTTCCAGGACAGGAATCAGGTATTGGGGGAAGGGCACATTTCTTCCCCTTTTAAGTAATGTGTTTGCTGGTGAGCACACGAGTTCACTTCCTCTAAAAACTGCTCCCCACGGAAATTTCTGTGCGATCCCTGACAAGCGCTGTAGCTAACCTCAGGGAAGGCTTAGAATCCTCCCGGCAGCCACTACCAATCAATCAGAAATGGTCCCGAAAGCACGTCTTAGCCATTCCTGAATTCTGACTTCTCCCTTTTAATGTCTAAGAAATTTAGGTCCACAGGAAAACTCAGTGCAGATCACGCAACTCTGCAGAGCCAAAATGAGCCTGGATGAAAAATCGACAGTCGATGAGGGGCTTCCAGAAACTACCTCCTCCCCGGAAACCAACCTCAGCCTCCAGGTCACAAGTTCAACCCGCTACAAGGAGGGAGACCAGAGGAAGAATTCATTCAGCAGCCCTCCACCAAGGCTTCCAGACAGGAAACCCAGTTCCACCCCAGCAACACTCCCCACGGCTGCTGTCAAAGCGTGTACATCTATTTTGGGGCAATAGAGCCCACCCCAGGCCCTGGGAGGGCTTCTCTCTCCATCCATCCTTCCTTCTCCAGCCAATGAGCACCTGACCCAAGTCTGCCCCAGGGTGAGGCAGCACGGGGATCAGGAGCGCCCCCTGCACTGACTCTCCAGAAGCCAGGTGCCCATAGGGGAGATCAGATGTGGCCGGACTGACAGCAGGGAGGGGACGCACCTGACCTAGGAGTCCTGGGGAGAAGGGCGGGGGGAAAGGGTCGTCTTGGAGATGATACCACTTACAAGCATGGTCCGACAAAGGAGAGGGCTTACCCCCAGAGGGCCGAGCAGCCAAGGCAGGGGCCCGGGGGGCTCGTGCTTCCCTGGCAGAGATGGAGGGCAGACACAGACAAACCATGGGGGGCAATAGGACCCCAGATGCCTGGCTGGGGGGCCAGGATCCCCCACCCTGCCTACCCCCACCCCCAGCCAGAGCCCCAGCTCTCCCCCACGGATGAAGAAACTGCAACTCCACAAACCCCGGAGACCACCAACCACAACCCACGCCCTGCCAGGGCAGAGATCACGGAGACTCCACAGGGGGAGAAGTTAAACATGAGAAGTGAGTGAAGGCGCTCAAGAGCCCAGACTCTTGGGGGAGAGGAGGAAAGGGGAGCCCTAAAAGGCCCACCCACACGAAAAACGGCGAGGGTGTGGTCTGTACTCACCTGCACCACTTCTATCCCTCGCTTCCTGTGGAGAGAAACAGAGAAAACACAGGTTACTCAAGCAGTCAGGAAGCATCCTTCCAGAACACTCACTGCAGCCAGCTGAAGGCATGGGAGAGCCTGCGGCTGCATCCCTCAAGCACAGTCCCCACAACAGCCCCATTAGCAGAGGGAAGGTTTGTGAACTCCTAGTCAGTCCTCAAGGCCACCTCTTGGCAGAGAGAGAGAGTCGTTTCCCAGAGGAACTTGGCTGTCGTTCTACAAAGACCCCAAGTTTGCTGGTTTTCCTCACAGCCAGCTGTCTCCCTCTCCAATCTCAGGGGCAGCCCTTCCTGAACACAGCTCCACCAAGGATGCTCCCCTCCACCACATTTACCACCAATGGTCTGACCTTCCCTCCTTGACTCCACCACCTCCCATGGCTCCCCATTTTCTCTGCTATCTGGTCTAACACCTTGGCCTGGCCTCCCAGGTCTGCCTCAATCCATCCACTCTCCCATGTTGCAGGAGGCCCCTGCTCGGCTCAGTTAGTGCAATCCTGGCCATCTCTAGCCCCCACTGACGCCCTATGCGTCCTCTGAGGCTGGTTCAACCACCACAGGCCTCACCAATATTGCTGTCAGCCTGCCTCCTCCACCTCTCACCCACAATCCCATGGCCACTGTTCTCCCACACGCACGCCCTAACTCACCCCACCCCACTACACACAGGGTCAGTGTCTCCGAGGAATGCCCAAAGGCCCCCTGCAACTCACCCACCTTTACCTCCCCCACCCCAAGCATCTGGGCACACGGGCTGTGTCACTTCTCCAAGCCTTGGTCCACACTTTCCATCCCAGCCTTTTGGATGTGGCTCAGACAGAAGCTCTCCTAGGAAGCCTCCCCCGACCCACAACACCCTCGCCCCACCCACCTACCCAGAGCCAAAATACTCCCAAGAACCTGGGACCACCACCATCCCGGCCCTTCGTTCCAGAGTCCTGCTGGACTGTCTCCTGGGGCAGGATGCTGGGGCAGGCACAGGGGTCTGTGTGGAATGCTGATGGCATGCCCATGGCCATGCCCGTGTGCATTTTCCTGGGAAGAAAGGCCAGGGCCCCCCCACAGGTGCTCAGAGGAGGCTGTGACCAGGCAAGGCTGGAAATGAGAGCAGGGACTACGGCAGGTTCGAAGGCTGTGTGTACTGCGTGCCTACTTACGGCGGCCGCCTGGCATACAGACACCCCCTAAACGCAAATACATAAACACTCAGCTCAGGGTCCTGTGCCCAGCCTGGCCCAGCACTCAGGGGCACACCAAATGCAACAGACATCGCTCAGGCCCTGGAGGGGCTCACGGTCTAGGGGAGGAGGTGGGCACAAAGCCCCCTGGGCACCATCACCATCCCCTCACACAACACAGCGGAGGTGACGCCTGCCAATCCTACATTTGTTGGTTAGCTCATCCAAGCGTTTCCCGACACCTCCTGAGAGCCGGCACCCAGCGGAAGTTCGAAAGGAAGCCGCTACAAGAGACAGCAAGACAGACCGGTTCGCACTGTGGGATACGCTGAGCCAGCCTTCCCCTCAACCCCCAACACCTCAACACAGCCCCAGGCCCCGAGGAACCCAATCTGAAAACCACAGCGGCTGATGCTTTCAGGGGTCCCCACCATCACTCAGCTTCTCCACAGCTCCAGAACAGTTCCAGAATGATGGCCAATACCCATTGGCTTCCCTGACGTCATGAGGGGAGAGACTGGGCACAGAGCACAGCCCTGGGCCACCAGCACCCACAGCAGGGATACCTCAGAGCCTCGGCCCCACTCCCAGATTGTCCTGCTCCACCTGAGCACTGGTGACAGTGACCGGCCCATGGCTACTTGACTCGTGACTGGGACTAACCAGGTTGGGTTCAGAGGGACTCCTCACTTTGCCCCTGGCCCTGCTCCAGGACAGAAATCTTGAACAGCTGAGGGAACAGCTCCTTGGGAAGTCCCCAAGGACAAGACTTGGGGCCGCACCACAGGAAGGACAGACGGCACTGAAGGGGACAGCAGGCGCGTATGGACGTGACCCGCACCAGGCGGACAGGGCCTCCACTGGGCTGTCGCCAGGCCCTGGGTTGTCCCTTTGAGTTAATCCTCACGGCATCCCGATTATTCCGGCGTGTGGCTCTCATCTCCTTCCGAGGCCGACTGCGGTCACTTCCAATCCGCCCACATCTGACACCGTCCCAGTCAGCTTGCCCTCCCCCAGTCCTAAAAAACAAACAGGACTCCAACTTTGAAAACACAAGAGACCCGTAACATAAAAGAAACAACAACAACAAGTTCATCTTGAGAACAGGCAGGCTGAAAATCTTAAGTGGGACTGAGCTCCCAGGAGCCAGACCAGCTCCTCTGTAGCTCAGAGCTCCAAGAACAGGATCCATCTAGACTCTGGCAGAAAAGAGGGGGGCTCCCCTTTCAGCCCACATCAGGCCACACGGGAGACACCCCCTCAGCCAGGGCAGCTAAGGTGCACTGGGTGCTCTCGCCCGCTGATGCCTTCCTCAGCCCCAGGAGGGAGGGGCAGTGATGACCCGTTACTTGGATGAGAAAGCAGAGGCTGGGCAGCCTCAGGAAGTGTGGGCTGCCCCACGGCCCGGTCTGCAGGGGAGGCACAGAAGACGGCCAGCCTGGTCTCTGCGCCGCAGGGCCTCGGTGTAAGGGGGGAGCGAGGAGGGGGGCAGGCAGGAAGTCACAGGCCCCATAGTGGAGGGACCCCACGCGCACCACTGCAGCCCACTCTGCAAAGGAGAATGTAAACCTGCCGGGGCTTCATTCCTTCCTCTGAAACTCCTGTGGGACCAACAGATCAACAACCCTCACTTCCCAAGCAGCAGGCTCCTGAAATTCCCCAAGTCCGGAAATTGGTTTCTGACACCAAAGGGGAGGAGGGAGGAGAAGATAAGCCAGAGAACTCACTGTCAAGGGATTACCAGTCTTCCTGAAAATGCCCGCACCCCCACCCCGCCCCACAGACGTCCTCACATGGGCGGTGTTTCAGGTTGTTCACTGCGACAGTGGAAGACCGAAAGACCACCAGAGGGGCCATTAACAAGCCACACGTGGTCCAAGAAATACTAGGCGGTAAGTAAAAAGAATGAGGAAGCCCTCCATGCGCCCAGAAGGCTTTGTCTATGTGAAAATGCAAGGTGCAAAGCTCTGTGTGCTGAGTTAAGAACGGCCTGGGTTAAGAACAACATCCAGCACAAGAACGTGGGCTCGCACACACACAGAATGAATCTGAAAGTACAAGAAAGAATGAAAGAATATGGTGTAGGGTGGCCTCTGGTCAAGGGCAAGGGTAGCTGGAGGGAGGAGTGAGAAGACTTCCGTTTCACTGTACATTCTCATGCTGGAGCGCTGTGCCCGGTGCACCCAGCAACATATTCTCAAACACTAGGAACATTTTTTTTTTTTAATTATCTTTTAAATAACAGGTAAAACTCCAGCTGCCACCATGCCCAGGGCTTGGCATAAAGTAAATGCCTGATAAAGGCATGAATCAATCAATCAATCAATAACGTGAAGTAGGGGCGCCTGGGTGGCTCAGTCAGTTAAGCATCTGCCTTCGGCTCAGGTCATGATCCCGGGGTCCTGGGATTGAGCCCCGCATCGGGCTCCCTGCTTAGCGGGAAGGCTGCTTCTCCCTCTCCTTGCCGTTCCCCCTGCTTGTGCTTCCGCGCTCTCTCTCTGTCAAATAAATAAATAAAATCTTTAAAACTATATATATTTTTTTAAAAATAACATGAAGTAGAAGAGTTCAGGATTTATCTAGAAAAGCTTCCAAGTCCTGCTCATAGAGGAGCTGAAACCAGGCCCACTCTGGGAGCATGAGACTGCCCTACAGGGAGCGTTCAGGCCCGATTCTAAGCACACCTAACTATTCAAGTATCTGGCAAACAGACCGGGAGGGCATGCACCGCCTGTCAGCTGTGGCCGCAGCAGGAAAGACATGGGTGGCTTTTTTCCTTGACATTTCCTTGTATTTTCTAGTTTTCTACAATAAGCATAGATATTACGCCCCAAATGATAGAAAAAGTAACAATAAAAGTTAAAGTGAAATAATTAAAGAAGTTTACTTCAACCCTACACCTGGAGAAAACTTGTACAGGCTCTAAAACTGTTGCTTTCTTGATAAATACTGATTAATAAGTTTTGGACAGAGAACCACCCCCGCGGCTTATAATTATAAACCTGTTTTTCCGAAAGCTGGATCGCTGTAAAGGGAAGATCTATTTTGTAAAAGGACTCCTCCTCGCCAGAAGTCCAAGGAATTTAAAATGCTCATTTCGAAGCAAACTATCCTTTCAGGGCGGGAGGGGGAGCAGTCAGAGAAGGCTTCAGGGAGGAGGCGGCGTCGGCCATTTCAATGAAGGGGAACTACTGACAGACACTCGGGAGGAGAGGTTAAAGAGGAACAACATGAGGAGTGCTCCCTTCCCAAAAGGTGCCTGCGGGTGTGGGAGCATAAGCTCCATGGAGGGGGTTGCGCAGGGGCAATGAGAAGGGGCCAGAAGATGCAGGCAGGCCGGAGAGGCCTGGAATGTCACAGGGCAGCCTGGCCTTTACCCTGTGGGCCAGCGGATCCCAAATACCAGGGTGGACGACTAAGAATCCCCACTGGAGCTTGTCAAAAACCCCAATTCAAGGCCTGGTCCTGCAGACTCTGATTCAGGACGTCTGGGGGCAGAGCCTGGGAGGCATGCGGGGCTCTGCCAAGCCCCCGGGTGTTGTTCTGGAGCAGCCAGGCATGGGAGCAAGGAGCAGCTTGTGCTTGAGGAGCAGCAGGACCAGACGGGGGTGGGAGGGCTCATCCAGGGGCAGCCCTTCCAGGTCTTGGGACAGGAGTCAAGGACACAGGAGAACTAGAACAGCTGAGCTGCTCCCAGGCCAGCTCCAGCAGAGGACAGAAGATGGCTAACCCTTCCATTTTATCACCCGTGGTCGTACCAGGAGGGGATCAGAAACTGAGAACTGAGCTGAGCAGACAGTTCAGGG